CCAACTCAAAAAAAAAAAAAAAAAAAGACAGAATTTATGCCCACATATCTGCACTATAAGAAATGCTAAGTGATGTTTTTCAGATGGAAAGGAAATGGTCCACTTGTCAATGTGGATCTAATTGGAAATAGTAAATATTGACAGATGAATAAATAGATTTAACCTCTTAGAGTCTGATTTTTCTCATTAAAAAAATAAAATTAGTGATACTATAATTTTATATGATTATATCTAGAATGATATACTTATCATTATCTTCATTTTATAGATAAAAATATAGTCACATTCTTCAAAGAATTACAAATTTAATACAGTTACATATGCAATAGGGGAATCAAAAAATCTGCCACATAGTAGATGTTTCCGTCCCCTTTCCCAATTAAAAGAAGATAGGTGAAATATCAGACAGGTGAGAATACTGTCTTAAGTGCCATAAGACAAGTCTAGGTTCATCCCTGTGATCAATTACTTTCTACATGTGTGACATAGGGCAAATTAAGGAATCTCTCCGGTTTTCAATTTCCATTTTTTCCAAAAACAGGATAAAATATTTGCTATATGGTGCTATTAGATTTTTGCTTTTTTTTCCTCAATTCTGCATTAAAGGAAAATATTTTTGTATCATTAATATAAAATGCCTGCCACACAGGAGATTGATAGATCAAAAGTTGTAGGTTAATGTTTCTGGAAACACACTTGTGCCATCACCTCTTTTATGTTGCACTTTATTTTTTCAATTCTATATTTTAAATTCTGTGGTATGGTTTTATAGTGGGGGAAATGTAATAATTGGATAGTTTGAAACAATACAAAGTTGTTACTCCTTCAATCTGTTCCGATCTCCTGAATTTCTAAGAGGCATAACGAGTAGATTTCTGTAATTAGAGTTACTTTAATTTACTAAACATTTAAGTAGGGACATTGGGTCTGAAATAGACATATTGCCATTTCACTATGGAGTTAAGATGTTGGGCACTTTTGGAAGCTAGTTGAATCATTTAAAGTCAGTTAAATGGTATTCAGTAAGTTGTTAGATTAGTTTTATAACCAGGAGATACTAGATTAAAGGGCATACATATTCTTAAAATGTGTAATTCATTCCCAAGGAACTTACTAGCAACTACGGAAGTTTAACTCCAATATTCATCAAAATATCTAGAAAGTAAATTACTCTTCTTGCTTTGTCCCAGAGAAAACCATGACAGACAGAGGTTAAAAACTCACCCCAGGTGTCTCAGGAAATCAAGAAGACCATAGATGAGAATTTCAAAATGAGTTTATAATGGCTTCTACAATTAGTCTGACTTAATCAGACTAATAAACTTTATGTAGCAATAAGCAAATTATCCATTTTACTGCGTACTACATGCTTAAATATAATACAATTCCATTAAAAAATTCTACAGTTCATATTTTATGACAACACTTAGAAGAGATTCATTTCTTCTTAGGGTGAATGAATGTGGTAAATACCTTAGTTTCTAGGATCTTAATAAGGTGGTCCAGTCCTTGATTGTCTCTTAGCATTGCTCGGTACTCCTTATCATTTGTAATAACACCTAAGGTTTTGAGAGTCAACAACTGAATAATTGGGTATTCTGACTTCAAGAGATCTAACATAGGAGGGATTGCATTTAGTTCTTGAAGTGCAGCGCGACATTGGAAATCCTGCCATGAAAAACAAATGATGCAATCAGTAATTTGTAAAGCAAATGAATGAAGAAATTCTATTTTCTTTTCTTTTTTTGAGTTGGAATCTCACTCTGTCGCCCAGACTGGGGTGCAGTAGCATACCCACAGCCACCTCAGCTCGACCTGCAGGGCTTAGGTTATCTTTCTGCCTCAGTAGCTGGCTAATTCCGCTAGCAACGCCCGGCTAATTTTGTGATTTATTGTCAAAATGAGGTCTCGCCATGTTGCCCAGGCTGGTCTCGAACCCGCAGGCTCAGGCAATCCTCTTGCCTCAGCCTCCCAAAGTGCTGGGATTACAGATTTGAGCCACCGCTCCCGGCCAAAATTCTATGTTCTAACAAAGAATGTAAGTTATAATTTTCCTACCTTTTATTCCAGACTCCCTTCCAAAATGACAAACAACAAATAAGCAAACTCTCAATTGACAACAAAATAGTGGCTTAAACTATGCAGACTGTCAGCAACAGGAAACATGCATAATCTATAACTTTTGCAGTATTTATTGTTTCTTTTCTTTTCTTTTTTTGAGTTGGAGCCCAGACCGGAGTGCAGTGGCACGCTCCCGCCACCGTAGCCTCGACCAGCTGGGTCCAGCGATCCTTCCCCCTCAGCCTTCCAAGTAGCCGGAACCACAGGCGTGGACTACCACGGCCGGCTAATTTCTCATTTATTGTAGAGTCGAGGTTTCGCCAAGTTGCCAGGGCTGGTCTCGAACCTGCAGCCTCAGACAATCCACTCGCCTTAGCCTCCCAAAGTGCTGGGATTACAGGTTGAGCCACCGAGCCTGGCCTGTTTCTTTATAGTATATTCCCATTGCCATAAACAGTATTAAAATAAAATCTCTGCATAATGAATTTTTTTCATACTCTGATATACCATTTCAAATAGTAATTGATAAAATGAAATAATGATATTGACACCTTATTATCTTTATTCAAATGGATTGTTTATGAAATACCTATTTGCATGCAGTGCTTTATAGGCCCTGTGCTTGCAAATTTACAGGTTTAATTAAGATACATGACCTTTACTTAAGACATTGACAATATCAAAGGATCACTGTAGTGCAGACAAGTGTGTCTGTGATTCTGTGTGAAAGTAAGGGTGTGAGTGGTTGAAGTGTGCAGTAGAGAAAATAAGCCAAGAGGCCACAAAAAGCTCCCAAGCTCTATTAAATCATGATATCTTTAATCAAGAGGTAGTATACATAAAGTAACAATAAACACGGCAAAGGCCCTGCTTACAGCTCAGCTTTCCCTTGTCCATTCTTCATTTGATCTCTAATATTCCGCTTCCTTTAGACATAAAAATTGTAGGTTTCTTTTTGTTATGGGTTGTATTGTGTCTTCCAAAAAATATATGTTGAAGTCTTAACCCCAGGGCCTCAGAATGTGACCCTTTTTGGGGTCACTGCAGATGTGATTAGTTAAGATGAGCTCATCCTGGAATAGGGTGGGCCCATAATAGTGTCCTTCTATGAGTGGTGACCTTACAAGAGGAGAGAGAGACCCCAGAGGGAGAGATTGTCAGCATGCAGCCACAAGCCGAGGAATGCCAAAGATTGACGGCCACCAGCAGAATCTTGGAAGAGGCGAGAAAGGATTCCACTGAGTGCCAGAGGGGTGACATGACTCTACTGACACTTTGACTTTGGACTTCGAGCCTCCAGAACCGTGACTGTCTATTTTTAAGCCACTCTACCTTATAGTACTTTGTTACAGCAGCCCTAGGAAACTAATATGCTGTTATTAGCTAGTACTTCTGTTATTAAGAATTGTGGAGGTCACTATTTTCATTTCTGCCGGATTAAAAAAATATGGGAAAATATAGCTGTAGAGTCTTGAGATTAAAAACACAAACACATGTATAGAAATATTTAAGCCTGTTGGATGAAGTAAAGCCTAAGGAACGAAAAAGGGAACAGAGGAGTGAACTTGCCCTTCAGGTGTCTCTTTAGAGAGGAGGAGTAAGGGTGAAATCAGTTAGTGCCCAGGCCAGTAACAATGACATGCTGGGCCAGGAATTTTTGCATTTGCCGCCTTTTGGTATGAGCCCATTGTCTCTCTTTGCCTGGATCCTTTGCTTCTCAGTTAACTCTCTTCTCCCTAACTCTGGCTTCAATATCTCTTCATTTCCCACACTATGGATGACTATTTAAAATTGGTGTTTTTTTGTATCAGCAGATCTAAAGCTCATCAAATATGTCTGCTAACTGTTAAGGAACCTAAGCAGGAAAGGAAACAGAAGGTTGTTCACAGTGTCAGGAAGCTGACCTGCTGTGGTGTGAGGGAGTATGTGGTGGTGGGGGTGGGGAGTACAGAGTTCAGGACCTCAGGCAGGGGAAAGTGGGCAGTTTCTTCCCACTACAAAGGAAACTGGCACAATGAGATAGCATCTTGCTATTGTGAACAATGAATTCTGTTTAGCCTGTTCAAATCACTGTGGGTTTTTTTAACCAATAAATAAGCATAAACCAAAATCTTGGACCATTGAATAGGGTATATATTACATCCAATGTGCTTAAATCAGTAGGTAACTACCCAGGTTCAACAGACATGGATACTAGATTTTCTGTTTTGGAAGACGTATATTTTATCTAGACTAATTCCACTTTAATTTACATGCCATTCTATTCTTTAAAAATAGAAATACATTTTAAAAATACTCTTTCATGGGATTATTTATAATTACTTATAAAATATGAAAATTGAGAGATATCTATACTAAACTTTCATTATTTTTTTCTCTGAATAATAAATAAATAGTACCAAGAAGAACTGATGATGCAAAACTGGTGAGTTTTTTAAAGTTTTTCTTTTTTTTTATGAGAAAATAAATTCTATAATCAGCTTTCAGCAAACTACTTTTTAGAAGTTAATCTTACCTGTACCAAGTTGTAAATGCATTCAATAGAATTCTTCTTTACATCCGGGTCTGGGCTATTCAGCAGTCTGATGAGTGGCTCTAATCCGCCATGTTCAAATATTTGCACTTTACTGGTATACTCTGCAGACATGTTTGCTAGACAAAGACTAGCAAACTCATGGATAACTACTTCTTCTGTACATAAAAAAATAAATAATGCAACTATGCTAAATGCTTATTCAACCACTACTTTAAAATATGCTTTGAAAACCAAAGCTCCACAAATCCTACCTTGCTTAAAGCCCACCTTTTTATAAACTCAAAATTGAGTTGTGATTTGAGAGATTTTAATGGCAATTCACAATTAACATTTCATAAGCTATTTTAAAAATGTAGTTTAATCAAATGTCAAAAATAAGCCAGTACCATTGTTTTGATTGACTGGAGGTTGCAGAGTTACCTTCTGGAGCGAGCTGGGCAATAACAGAATTCATGACATCTAACTCCCTTAACAATTTTTTAACATCATCTACAAAGGAAGAAACAGAATATGGATGTTTATTAATAATAATAATGGCAATGTCTACTGGACAGTTCCTTATGAGATAGGTAATATTATCTAATTTTACAGGTAAGGAAATTGAGGCTCAAAATCACACAGCAAGTAAGTGGTAGGGCAGGTTTCAAGCCCAGGTCAGTTTGACTCCGCACAGACTTGAGGCTGTGCTCCTCACCGGTAAGCTGTATCGCCTTCCAAAATACTAGCAGCAATAACGTAAAAGTGCAAAATGTGCCTAGAGCACTTATCAGAAAAGCAGAGTTATTGTGTTCTACACTTGTTTATCATATGATAGTAATTCTTGCTTTCTGTTGTGGGAAATTTTGATTTTAGTCATCATTTTTATAAATCATTTAATCAACATGTTATTTTAATCATCAAAATTTGTACAGAGTGTAAATAGGAATTATCCCAGCCTATTTCGATCAATCATCTTGATCACTTACATTCCATTTGATTGTTAGAAATACCAAAACTGCTTTAAAATATTAACTTTAAAAAGTAAACTTTTATCTGGGCTCGGTGGCTCAGCCTGTAATCCCACGCCTTTGGGAGGTGGAGGTGAGTGAATTGCCTGAACCCGTGGATTCGAGACCCGCCTGGGCAGCGAGACCTCATCTCTACAATAAATCAAAAAATCAGCTGGGCGTGGTAGCGCATGCCTGTAATTCCGGCTACTTGGAAGGCTGAGGCGGAAGGATCGCCAGAGCCCAGTAGGTCGAGGTTGCGGTGGCCGGAAGCGGTCACCGCATTCCAGTCTGGGCGACAAAGTGAGACTCCAACTCAAAAAAAAAAAAAAAAGTACACTTTTGTGCTATTGGTATTAACCTAGTTAAGGCCGGACAGGTATGTCTACATGCCAGGTTTGAACCTCAGTTCCACTACTAAACACCTGCATGACTTTGGGCAAACAGCCTAGTTATTTTAAGGCATCTTTCCTATTTTTAAAATGAGGCATTGCATAAGAGGTATTATGAAGTACCTTTGTTTCTAAACAGAATAAGACCTAAGACATTTAAAAATCTTCCCTTTTTGGGGTTTTGGTTATACATTCAATATAGCACTAATATAGAATTATTATACAAACAATCCTTGAGATAAATTTAGGAAGGCCCCATAATTCAAATGAATACTACCTTTTTAAATTTCTCTATGCCTCAGTTGCCACATACATAAAGGAAATAATAACAGTGCCTACTTCACAGGGAGGGTTGCTGTGGGATTTAATTATTTCATATATAAATAGCACTTAGAACAGTGCCTGGCACATTGTCAGTGCTATGTGAGTGTTAACGGGCATTTTACCATAATCCAAGTTGGTGGGACATCCACTCTACCATGGCTGTCCTCCTCTTGCTACCATGTCCAGAAACTCTCCCAGAGCCCCTGACTGGTAGCACAGCTACCTTCAGAGCTCTTGAGCTTGTTGCCTTCCACTAACTACCCCAACAGAGCCCTGCTGGCCTCTAGTATTGCTGCTACTGTCATATGCAGTTTCCTAACTGAGGCTGTAATGGACAGATGGCAAACAAAACTCCTCTTCCCCTTCCTCTTCCCACTGTCCACATGTAAATGTGTCTAAAGACACAAATGCCCAGTCCCTGCTGGACACTATGGAATAAGGAGATCTCACTGTCATTACAAAGGGTCCAGGGACAATGAAGGAGGAAGAAGTAGGGGAAGGAGCCTGTGCTTGTGTTTTGCTGAGACCGTGGTAAAAGGGGGAAAGTATAGTGGCTTTAGTCATTCACCATAATAGATGCATGTTTATTCCTAGCAGCCTGAGTTTCATGTTAAAATTTGGTCTCCACTAAGAGTGTCATTTAAAATTTATTATAAATTACAAGGCTTTTGCTGGCTGACTCAAAAACTACCACTACAACATAGGAAAATGACAAGGAAAACATATCCTATTCGTAAGTCAGAAACTGCCTTTATTAGCATCATTTTGGTCAAACAGATATTCTGATAGACATAGTGGCATATTTTAACTAATATTATTATACTGCCTATTAAATATATAAAAATATTCCAAGCAAGTAATAGGTCTGATTTAAGGGGCAAATGCACATCTAAATTTGTTTTTATAAAAGGCAAAATGTAGTTTCCAGTTTCCAAAAAAATAAATAAATTTATCAAAACCCTTCACTCTGGTCTTCATTCAATATGAAATATACATATGAAATGTAACATACATATTGACAGGCAAATTACATTATACTCAAGAGAAAAATTATACTAATTTTAAGAGAAAACAACTGCTCTTCCAACTTGTAGGACTAGAATATACTGCATCACCAACTTTGAGAGGGATTTTTGCATAGATGTATTTGCACTTATTTTTAATTTTAACATATCCCTTAAAATATGAAATTATTCATTTGTTGTGTTATACAGATTTAACTTTTTTGTTAACATTAAAGTCAGTTTAAATAAAATTAAAACAGATCATTTAATATTAAATTTAAAAGAAGGATAATGCATTACATGAGATTATTTATTTGGAAAGTTGATACTTACTATTAGAAGCCAGGATTCCAAATGTCATAGTAGCGTTTCTTCTTACAGTTTTGTCTTCATGAGTGAGCAGTTTACTTAAAGGCTCTACAGCTCCAAGTTCAAGGAGGGTCACTTTATTTTCCTCACCTGACAACACGGGTAAAATAAAATCACACATAGAGTTAGTTCATCAGTCTCACCAACGCTCTTCTTGGTGTCATTCCAGTTTCTTATTTGCCATTTCCTTTTCATATTCCTCTTGGCTTACACTCACATTTCTCTCAAAATAAACTTAGAGCACAAGTACCTGGACATTGCTGCTCTTCCTGCCCCCTGATGTGTGCAGAGCTGACTTCATCCTGTCTTCTGTTTTGAGCTCACACTGCACCTCCTCAGAGGGGTCTCCCCTATCACCCTCTCTAATGTTGTCACCACATCCAAGTCTCTCCTGTCTCTCTTTATTGTGCTTTATTTAATGACCTCCGTGTTTTGCTTGCCTACTCCACTATAACTTAACTTTCCATGAGGTCTATCTGTCCTATTTTCTCACATCCTTGGTGCCTGCCACAGCGCCAGTCATGTAATAGGCACTCAATTAATACTTACTGCATTATTAATTAATTGTGTAGCTTTTTGTAGAAATCAATACGATTTTTTATATACATGATAGTTAATTTTGTGTGGCAACTTGTCTAAGCTAAGAAATGCCCAGATGGCCGGTAAAACATTATTTATTTTAGGTGTGTCTGTGTGTCTGTGAGGGTATTACTGGAAGAGATTGTATATGTGTTTTAAGAAACAGGGTCTTGCTCTGTCACTCAAGCTAGAGTGCAGTGGCATAATCAAAGCTCACTGTAACCTCGAACTTCTGGGCTCAAGAGATCTTCCTGCCGGAGCCTCCTGAGTAGCTGAGACTACAGACACTCTATGCTAGTATATTTTTAATATTTTGTAGATGTGAGGTCTCACTATGTTGCCCAGCCTGGTCTCAAATTCCTGGGCTCAAGGAGGATCCTGCTTTGGCCTCCCAAAGCACTGGGATTACAGACATGAGCCACCACCATGCCTGGCCTGAGATTAGCATCTGAATCAGTAAAGCGAGTAAAGATAGGACCCCACCAACGTAAGCAGGCAACATTCAATTTGCTGAGGGCTAAAACAGAACAGAAAGGTGAAGAAGAGAAAATTATCTCTCTTCTTGAGCTGGCATCCATCTTCTGGCTTCGGACATTGGAGCATCTGTTCTCAGGCCTTCAGACTACAGGACATTACCCCAGCACCTTTGATTGTCAGGCCTTTGGACTCAGACTGAATTACACTGGTTTTCCTGCTTCTCCAACTTGCAGATGACAAATCATGGGACATCTCAACCTCCACAATCACATAAGCTATAATAAATTTTCTCAAATATATCTATATATCCCCTATTAGCTCTGTTCTCTAAAGAACCCTGGCTAATACAATATAAATGATTATAATAATAGGGAAAACTGCAATGGGGGAGGGGTGTATATGAGAACTCTACTTCCCGCTCATTTTTCTATAAACCTAAAATTGTTCACAGAAAAAAGTCTAGTAATTTAAAAGAAATATATACTACAAACTGTGAGAAAATTTTTGGAAATTATATATCTAATACAGGAGTAACAGATTTATATCTAGAATATATGGATTGAGTTCCTAAAACTCAACAGTAAGAAATCAAACAACCAAATTATATATATATGAGCAAGTGATTTGAGCAGATAGAGGATATATGGATGGCAGTAAAGCACATTTTGCTCAATATCATTAGTCATTAGGGAAATACAAATTAAAACCACAATAAGAGACCACTTCACACTCACTAGGATTACTATAAAAAAACAAGATGAATAACAAGAAAAAAATGTTAGCCAGTGTGTGCAGAAACTGGAACTCTCATACATTGTTGGTGAGAATTTCAAACGGTACAATTACTTTAGAAAATGGTTTAACAATTTCTTAAAAAGTTGATGTACACCTACCATATGATCCAGCCAAATTTTGGTATATCCATAAACAATTTTTGGAAATTATATATCTAATACAGGAGAAACAGATTTGTATCTAGAATATATCGATAGAGTTCCTGAAACTCAATAGTAAGAAATCAAACAACCTACACATGGATTAGTCTCAAAGTAATTAGGCTGAAGAACTAAGTCAGACTATGCCATCTTCTATAAATCAAATATAGTTCTACTTCATCTTTTATACTCTGGGTGCCTTTTATTTCTTTTTCTTATATGACTGCATTGGCTAGAACTTCCCATGCAATGTTGAATAAAAGTAGTGAGAGCAGACATCCATCTCTTGCACCTGATCTTCTTAAGAGACGATCTTGGGAAAACATTCAGTTTTTTACCATTAAGTATAATGTTAGTCATAGGCTTTTCATAGATACCCTTTGTCAGGTAGAGAAAGTTTGTATCTAGTCCTTCTTTCCAGAGATCAGGAGTGGATGTTGAATTTTGCCAAAAATATTTTTTTGCATTTATTGAGAGAATCATATTGCTTTTCTTTTTTAAAATATGGTGTATTAGTTGCCCATTGCTGCTGTAACAAGTTATTACAAATGTAATGGCTTAAAACAACACTCTGCCGGGCTCCGTAGCTCAGCCTGTAATCCCAGTGCTTTGGGAGGCCAAGGTGAGTGGATTGCCTAAACCCGCGGGTTCAAGACCCGCCCGGGCAACTTGGCGAGACATCATCTCTGCAGTAAATCAAAAATCAGCCGGGCGTAGTAGCGCATGCCTGTAATTCCGGCTACTCGGAAGGCTGAGGCGGAAGGATCGCTGGAGCCCAGCAGGTCGAGGCTGTGGTGGCCGGGAGCGGCCACTGCACTCTAGTCTGGGTGGCAGAGTGAGACTCCAACTCAAAAAAAAAAAAACAAGAAAACACTCAGTGGGCGAAATTAAAAATGTTGACAAGGATATCTATTTTCCTTCTTGAAGTTCTATGGGAGAATCCATTTTATTTTTAAGCAAGCATTCCTTGTCTGCTGGGCCCCTTTCATGTTCAAAGCTGGAAATTACACCATTCTGACCTCTATTTCCACTATTACATCTTCTCTGACTCTGACTTTCTTGCTTCCTTCTTTCATCAATAAGGACCCTTGTGATTTTGTCAGCTCCACCTGGATAACCCACAGTAATCTCATCTGGAAATCAGTTGATTAGCAACCTTAATTCTATCTGCAATCTTATATAACCCTTGCCATGTAATTTAATACATTCATAGCTTCCAAAGATTATATATAAATATTTGGGGGTTATTTTTCTACTTACACATATGATAAAATACCTTGACTAATTTTCAAGGTATTTTAAAATGCTAACAACCTTGGTTTTTGTTTTTGTTTTATTTTTTTGAGTTGGAGTCTCACTCTCACCCAGATTGGAGTGCAGTCGACCTGCTGGGTTCCAGCGATCCTTCCGCCTCAGCCTTCCAAGTAGCTGGAAATACAGGTGCGCGCTACCACGCCCGGCTAATTTTTTTGATTTTTATTGTAGAGATGAGGTCTCGCCAAGTTGCCCAGGTGGGTCTCGAACCCGCGGGCTTAGTCAATCCACTCACCTCAGCCTCCCAAAGCATGGAATTACAGGCTGAGCCACCAAGCCCGGCTTGTTAACCTTGTTAAACCAAACTTGTAATCTGGTGATAAAAGTCATTCAGTTATGATGAATTAGTGTTTTTATACCTTGCTAAATTTAACTTGCTAATATGCTTGTGCAAAATTGGTATTACTTTTTCCTTAAATTTTTGATAGAATTCACCAGTGAAACCATCTGGACCTGGAGTTTTCTTTGTGAGAAATTTTTTAAACTACAAATTTCAATTTCTGTAATTAATATAGAGTTATTCAGGCTATCATATTTTCTTTAGTAAGTTTTGGAAATTTGTGTCTTGCAAAAAACCTGTCCACTTAATCTAAGTTGTAGAATTTGCAGATATTAATTCATTCATAATATTCCAATTATCCTTTTAATATATGTAGGATCTGTAGTGATGTTCTCCCTCTCATTTCCTGATATTGATAATTTGTCTTCTCTCTCATTTTATCAATCTAACTAGAAGTTTTGCGTTTTTATTAATCTTCTCAAAACAACAGCTTTTCCTTTATGGTCTTTGTCCTTTTTTTTCCTATTTCCTATTTCATTGATTTCTGCTCAGATATCTACTATATTCTTGTTATTACTAAATTTGGGTTTAATGTGTTCTTTTTATAGTTTCTTAAGGTGGAAGCTGAGGTTATTGATTTGAGACTTTCCTTATTTTCTAACATAGGCATTTAGTGCAATAAATTTCTTTCTAAATACTCCTTTAGTAGCACCCTTATACTGTGTTTTAATGTTCTTTTGATTTCTTCTTTGATTCAGGGTATTTCAAAGTGTGTTATTTACTTTCTAACTATTTAATGATTATCCAGAGCTCCTTGTGTTATTGATTTCTAATTTAATTTAATGGTGGTATAAAAATATATTTTGTATTATTGGAATCACTTAAAATTTATTGAGGCTTGTTTTATGGTTCAAAATATGGTTTATTTGGGTAAATGTTCTGTCTGCAGTTGAAAAGAATGTGTATTCTACTGTTCTTGGAGTGTTCTATAACTCTTAATATTAAATTCATTGATATTAATGATCAAATCTCTTAAACCCACGTAGATTTGTTCCCTACTTGTTCTTTCATTTATTGAGGGAGAGGTATTGAATCTCCAGCTTTAACTGTTGATATCTATTTCCCCTTGCATTACTAGCTTCATGTAACTTGAAGGTCTGATATTAGGTACATAACTGCTCAGAATTTTTCATGGCCTCTTGATTAACTGATCCCTTTATAATTATAAAGTGACTTCTATATCTCTGGTATGAGTCTTTTCTCTGTTTAATTTTCTGATATTAATACTCCAGATTTCTTTTGACTACTGCCAGCAAGAGTCTTATTTTTCATCCTCTTAAAATTGTTTCTTTATATTCTAAGTGCACTTCTTGAAGGCAGCATGTAGCTTGGTCTTGCTTGTTATCATATGTATAACAGTGTAAGTCTCTTCCTGTTAATCAAGGTATTTAGATCATGTATATTTCATTTGATTATTAATATAGTTAGATTTAAATCTACAATCTTATTAATGTTTCTTATATGTTCCATTATTCTTTACTTTTTTTCTTCATTTTAGTCTTTCTTTGGATAAATGCAATATTTTCTATCATTTCATTTTATTTCCTTTGTTGGCTTATTTGATATTATTATTTGTTATTTTGGTGGCTGCATTAGGTGTGTAGTATACATCTTTAATTTACCACAGTCTACTTTCAAATGATATTATACCACTTTACATATATTACAAGAACCTTGTCATAGGATACTTTCTTCTTTTTTTCCTTTATACCTTGGTGCTGTTGTTGCCAAACATTTAACATATATATATGTTTCAAACTACATTTAAATAAAAAAATGTATATGTTACTACATTTAGTGCTCTGTATTCGTTTATGTACATCCATATTTCTATCTGGTGTTAGTTTCCTTTTTTCCTGATGGGTATCTTTTTATTATAATTAGCAATGTGGGTCTGCTGATAGTAGATTATTTCAGCTTTTGTATGTGTGAAAAATGATTGAAAAATGACTATTTCTTTTGAAGGATTTTTTTCTGGGTATAGAATTCTGGGTTGAAAGTTTTTATTTTTCTTTCAGTACTTTTAAAGATATTGCTCTACTAACTTCTTGGTTGCATCATTTCTGATGACAAATTTTCCTCATTTGTCATTTGTTATTTATTATCTGTTGTTATTCTTATCTTTGTTCATCTGAATGTAACAATTTTCTCCTCCCCTCCCCTCACCTAGCTGCTTTTAAGATGTTCTCTTTATCACTGGAATTAAGCAATTTGCTTATGATGTACCTTGGTATATTTTATTTCATATTCTTTGTGCTTGGGTTTTGATGAGCTTTTTGGATCTGTGGAGTTTCATTAGTTTCATTAGATTTGGAGAAACTTTGGACATTACTTATTCAAATATTTTTTCCTGTTCGTCTTTCTTTTTCAGAGACATATACTGAACATATGACACATATATTGAGCACTTATATTTTCCCCATAGCTCACTGAGTCTCTGTTCATCTTTTTAAAATCTCTTTCTCATTGTGTTTCATTTTTGATTGCTTCTGTTTCTATGTCTTTATGTGCATTAACTTTTTCTTTTGCAATGTCTAATCTGCTGTTAATCCAAGCCTATGCATTTTTCATCTCAGACACTGAAGTTTTCATCTCTATAGGTTTTAGTGAATTTGAGTCTGTTTTATATTTTCCATGTTCTTAATTACTTTCTGAACACATAGAATACAGTTGTAATTAGTCTTTTAATTTTTTATGCTAATTCTAACATCTGGGTCAGTTTTAATTTGCTAGTTAATTTATAACCTTATTGTATTTCTTTCCTCTGCTTCTTTTTTTTTTTTTTTTTTTTTTT